TAGTGGTAGCAATGGAAGTTGAATTCTGAAAAATGAATACTAGCTTACTAGTCAGTAGCTTGAAATGAATAGCAGCTTACTAGGGGTTAGAGGTGGCATTCCTGATAAAGGAGAAAGAGGAATAGAAGTTCTGTTATGTTGAATAAACAATAAGGAATTGAACATAGCTGAAATTACTGGGAGGTAGACTGGTAGGAGCTGGGGCCTAGGCAGTGTGATTAGTGTATGCCTTTAGCATAGTGCTATTGAGATGGACTTAATCCACTAGGAGTACATAAAAAAACTTTAAATGTTTAAATTAATATGGAATTAGAGTTTAAAAGGCCACTTTATTGGCACTGTAGGGAATAAATTAAGAACAGGAAGAGGTTAGGAAACTGGGAGAGTAGTGAGTAATTCATTAGAATAACCTGTGAAAGAAATAGGCTAGCAAGGCTGGAATAGAGGAGGGAAGGCATTCAAGATATCAGTGAGAAATGAATTATTAGGAAAAAAAGTAACTTAGTGATTAAGTCTTTGATGTCATTTAGAATCACATTCAGTTCCAGCTTTGCCTTTTACCAGTTCTGTGACTTCATATGTAATTTGATTTTAGTAAGTTCTGTTTCATCATCTGTATTGTAATTGCGTAGTTGAAGCTTTAAGCAACTTTCGTTCAACTAACTTGCTGAATAGTTAATAGTTGCTCTCCATTGCCTCAGTAAAAGAGACCTATGCAGTGTCCATGGCAGGCTCTCAGCTCATCCGCCTAAGCGACGGAATTAACCAATCATTATAGTCCTCATACTGTGTGATATCACTTATACAAAATGTCCAGAATTGCCGGGCGCGGTGGCTCACGCCTGTAATCCCAGCACTTTGGGAGGCCGAGATGGGTGGATCACGAGGTCAAGAGATCGAGACCATCCTGGTCAACATGGTGAAACCCCGTCTCTACTAAAAATACAAAAAATTAGCTGGGCATGGTGGCGTGTGCCTGTAATCCCAGCTACTCAGGAGGCTGAGGCAGGAGAATTGCCTGAACCCAGGAGGTGGAGGTTGCGGTGAGCCGATCTCGCGCCATTGCACTCCAGCCTGGGTAACAAGAGCGAAACTCCGTCTCAAAAAAAAAAAAAAAAAAAAAAATGTCCAGAATTGGCAAATCTATAAGAGATAGAAAGTAGATCAGTGGTTGTCAGAGGCTAAGTGAGGAGTGACTGCTATTGAGTATAGGGTTTCTTTTTGGGGTGATGAAATGTTCTAAAATTAATGGTTGACACAACTATGTGTCACAACTCTGAATATATTCAAAACCACTGAACCACTTTTGAGAGTTAATTTTATGGTATATCTCAAGTTGTCACCAAAAAAAAAAAATCTAATTCGGCTTTCCACATTTGTTTAATATGTCTTTTGGTCAAGGATCATGGACTGCATTTGATTATCAAGTCTCTTTATTTACCCATGTTCCTGATGGGTTAAAATAATAAAGAATATACAAATGGTTAGTTCTCCTATAAACAAAAGAGGAAATCCTTTTCCTGAAACTTTCTTAAATGTGTAGCATGGATCTAGTTTATTTTAGATGCATGTAAAACAAAACATCTGATTAAATTAAAATTCTTCCTTCATGATTATAAGCTCTTGGTGAAGACAGGTCAGATAAAGGCATTTGGGTTAATATGAGGCAAAAATTTCTGTATCAAAGCACAATGTTTATACTGGCTGGAGCTAGAATTTTGAGATATTGTTTTAAGACTTGTTTTTTAAAAATAGCTTTTAAAAGCTTCTTGAGGTATATGATATATAAATATACAGAGATATATATGTTATGCAAAAATATAGGTGGTATATATATACCATATATATATATAACCATATATCCCATAATTTTTTCCTTAAGAGACAATCTTTTTCTGTTCCCTAGGCTGGAGTGCAGTTGTGTGTTCACAGCTCACTGCCGCCTTCGATTCCTGGGCTCAAACAATCCTTCCACCTCATCCACCTGAGCAGCTGGGACTGTAGGCACAAACCACCACACCTAATTTTTAAAAGTTTTTTGTAGAGACGGGGTCTTGCTCTGTCGCCCAGGCTGGTCTCAAACCCTTGGCTTCAAACAGTCCTTCCACCTCGGCCTACTGAAGTGTTGGGATTATAAGCTTGAGCCACTGTGCCTGGCCATAGTTTTGTATATAAATGTGTTACTATCATAGCTTGGTAATCGACCTAAATAGTACTGTTATATATTGTTTTAAGCCCCCAAAGTTGTCTTACCTAGATGTGGTGCTAGCAACTGTTTTTATAAAGACAGGAATGTAGAATGGCAAAATGCTGAAATACAAGCATACTCTAAGCACACAGACCTTCATGTCACAGTAGAAACTTTCTGCTTGTAATAATTGCCATTTTAATTTTGGTGTAGAAAGCCTTCTATGGATGTGATAGTTTATGTATCAAAGAGCAATCTCTATTTGAAGAAACTGTGTGATCTGGTTACAAAAGTGACTGCTGTATCTTTAACGGTCAGTGTTATTAAAAATAATGATTTATTTTGCCTGCTGTGATAATCAAGAGTATCTTATTTAGATATGTGCATGAGATGGTTGCAGACACCAAGTTCAGGTATTTTACTATAGAATATAAATAGATGCGTTTTCTTCTGGGTTTCCCTACCCCTTTATATACCTTGATTTTAATTTTTATCAAGTGTGTCTCTTTGGCCTTTGCCGCTGTGGCCCATTGATCTGTCCATCTGTCTGTTACAGTGCATATTGGGTACTTCCAGAAGTATGAATTCAGTGATGCAAAGGACAGGCGGGCTGCAGCAGCAAAGGTAGGACAGAATCATTCCAAAGACAAGTCATTAAAGGACCATTAAACACACATACTTACACACAGACATTGGCAACAAGTACCTCATTAATTAAAGGCACATCATTTATCCTATAAATCTTTATGGGAAAGCTTGTGCTGACATGACAAATGTGACGTACTTGTAAAGGGCACAGTTTTATTATTATGTTTTAAACCAGAAGCCAACTTGGCACTTAGGCAACAAAGTAAATGGGATTTGCCGCTGTCTTTAAGATGCTGAATAATAGCATCTTAAATGGAGGATATTAATAGTATTAATTTGATTCATGGAGTTGGCTGATTTTCAGCAATATGATAAAGGATCCTATTTTGTAAACTGTGGGAGGAGAAACAGAAAAGATAGATTGAGCTATGAGTGTATATTTATGTGATAATGTTTATATTCCAGATTCCGGAATATTTTGATGAAAATAAGCTAAATCTTCCAGTTATTTTGCTAACTTCTGTGAGGAAGATTAAGAAATTCTATTTAAATATTTGTACCATTTACTTAAGTATTTGTATCAATTTATTGCTAAATGATAGCAGTTATAATAGCAATTTCTGGCTTTAAGAAAATTACTGGGTTAGGATGGAAGGGCAATAGCATTTTTATACTGAATCCTAAAACGTAAATTACAGGGAAGTTTTTAGACGTAATCATACATTGCAAACAGTTGAAGATGAATTGGAAAACTTATAAAGTTAAGTGTTAGGTTGCATGTATCATTCTAGTATTGGCTGTAAAGTGATGTGCTATAGGGGTGGTGGAATGATGCAGATATTTACATCATTTTCTATGCTGTTAATGCTTCTAAAAAGAAGAGGGGCTATGTTTTCCTGAACAGGTTATAATAGAGTGCTTCTCAAGGCTTCCCAAATGAAGTCAGATAAAAATTTTTATTTGGTCTTCTGTGAAGATTGCTAGGTTTTCAAAATGACTGTAGAACCTAAGATGTTACCACGGCCTAAATTCTGACTCAAATGCTGATGTTACTTAATACTTCTATAAACTCCACATACTATATTGAGGACATCTAGTTTCTTGAATGTGGAAGTGAAGCTTCGTAATATGTCATAGTTGGGATGTTGCAAAATCAATAGTGTTAAAATGTTTTGGGTTTTTTAAAGATTTTTTTTTTCAGCGGGTGGTCTTGGAAACCCTATCAATTATCTGTTTTTGGTTTTACCAGAGGTTTAGCACCTTCTCCCAAATGTATTTAGGTATTTAATATTCCACTAAATAAATCACAAAAGGGGAGTATGTGAACTTCTTGACTAGATCTAAATCACTGCTCAGAAAGATTTGACTTTTTAAAATAGTGCTTTCTTATGTCAATAGACTTTAAAAGTGAGGTACATTTGTGTTCTTTCTTACTTCCTACTCCAATTCTACTTTATTCTTCAAGTTGCTGTTTTTCCTTCAGCAGTATACTATAGATTTAAAAATTGTATGTTATTTTCTAATATAACCGTATCAGTTTATCAGTTTTCCTATTGTTAGACATTTAATTCACTTTGTATTTGTGTCTTCTTCCCTTCCCTTACAGAGTTTTTGTAAAGAAGGCTGAATGTTTTCAAAAGCTATGAGTTTATATTTACGTGTGTGTGAACTGCCATTTTATGTACATCCTTGCTGATAACTATTACGAATCTTGGCCGGACGCAGTGGCTCACACCTGTAATCCCAGCACTTTGGGAGGCCGAGGTGGTGGATCACCTGAGGTCAGGAGTTCAAGACCAGCCTGACCAACATAGTGAAACCCTGTCTCTACTAAAAATACAAAATTAGGCAGATGTGGTGGCACATGCCTGTAATCCCAGCTACATGGGAGGCTGTGGCAGGAGAATGGTTTGAACCCAGGAGATTGGGGTTGCAGTGAGCCGAGATCAAGCTACTGTGCTCCAACCTGGGCAACAAGAGTAAAACTCTTTCTCCAAAAAAAAAAAAAAAAAAAAAATTCAAATTTTTATTAATCTCTTAAAGAAAATATTAGTTGTTTGTTTTAATTACATTTTTCTGAATTGCCTTTTTATATCCTTTGCGTTTTCATAATTTTTTTTTTCTTCTTTTTTTTTTTTGGAGACAGAGTCTCGCTCTGTCTCCCGGGCTGGAGTGCAATGGTGTGATCTTGGCTCACTGCAACCTCTGCCTCCCGGGTTCAAGCAATTCTTCTACCTCAGCCTCCCAAGCAGCTGGGACTACAGGCATGTGCCACCACGCCCGGTTAATTTTTGTATTTTTAGTAGAGACGAGGTTCTTCACGTTGGTTAGGGTGGTCTTGAACTGACCTCAAATGATCCACCTGCCTCAGCCTCCCAAAGTGTTGGGATTAAAGGTGGGAGCCACTGTGCCTAACCAGTAATGGTATTTAATGTATAATTATTATAGCTCTTTCTCCAGTCTGTTACTTGAAAGAAAAAGCATTATATTCACGTGGTAACAAATGTAAACGTTGTAATGATTACATTCATAGCTTTAGTATGTTTCTTCCTTTTGACATAATTTCTTTTTCTTTCTTTCTTGCATCTTTGAGAACCTCTCTTTCTGCCAGCTATACTTGTATGTTACCAAAATCCTTTTGTTTTATGATTATAACCAAATCTTAATTTGTTTGTAGCTTGATTTTTGAGGTGGCACCGTTGAATATTTGTTTTTATGGTTTATAAATATCATTTAATGACATTCCAAGTAGTGTATTATGATTACTATTGCTTTTTTGTTTTTAACAGGCCTAATGTCAAATGCTCTATATTTTCCTAAGTATAGTCTCTGGTGTCAATATCATTTGCATTTATTTATATTCCTTGGAGCCCTTCATTCTGCTCTTGTAACCAGGATGGCTTTCCCTCTAAGCCTCTTACATCTAGCTCTCAATCATGGACTTTGCATCACTCTTCTCCTGTGTTGGAGCCTCTGATTCTTAGATACACGTCTTTTCCTTGATTGAATCTCATTTTGCTGTGCTACGTCCTTGATTTAACTCTCACAACACTTTTCTCAGGCTGTTGTTACTCATCGTGGCTCTGATAATGTGCTTAATTTTCCTTGAAACTTGGTTGCTAGATTGGCTAGGTTGGAAACTCTAGATTGGAATATTTATGCAAGATGTTGCCTTCTGCATTCACTGTTGCTGATAAGACTGATAGTAGTCTGGTTCTCCTTTCTTTATGACTTTGATTTTTTTTTTTTACGTTTTTGCCTTTTTATCTTTGGCATTCTGAAGAGATCTGTAAGTGTGAATTTTCCGATCTGTTGTACTGGATCTTTAGTAGACCCTTTCAACTGGAAGACTTGTGTTCTTATAAAGCTTTGGGAAATTAACTTCTGTTACTCCTTTGCTAATTTCCTTTCCTCTCCTCTCCTTTTGGAATTCCTGTTAGTTGAATGTTAAAAACAATGAACATAACTTAAAATAATGATAAGTTATGGAAGAAAGACTGAGGGATGCATGTAGCCGTGCTAAATCCTAATCTTTCACATCAGGCAGGTGATAATATCTAAAATGGAAAAATAACTCCTTGAGCATAAGCATATTATTTAGGATAAAAGTAAATACTAGAAGACACAGAAGAGTTTAAAATGGTTACTCAGAGGATTAGAAATCAGCAGTGACTGAGGTATGGCAGAGAAGACTGTTAAATCTTGCAGTACCATTAACTTTTAAAACGATATATATATATATTTTTTTAAATAAAATAATTTAAAAGTGATTTAATGTAATCCCTACGGCCTGCATTTAGTGATAGCTTCATTCTTTAAAATCTCTTCAGGACATTTATGTAGATGTGTTCTTAGACCAGCTATTTACTCTCAGCCTTCATGAAAGGATGTACACATTATTCCTGTGTCACAATTCTTAATTATTGAGCTGTGTATTTTGAGAAAAATTGACAGAGAATGTACTAGAGATTTACATGGCCGGTTGTTGCTTGTTTTGTTGTTGTGGTGGTGGTTTTTGAGATGGAGTCTCGTTCTTGTTGCCCAGGCTGGAGTGCAATGGTGTAACCTCGGCTCACCCCAACCCCCGCCTCCCGGGTTCAAACGATTCTCCTGCCTCAGCCTCCTGAGTAGCTGGGATTACAGGCATGTGCCACTATGCTTGGCAAATTTTGTATTTTTTTTTAGTAGAGATGGGGTTTCTCCATGTTGGCCAGGCTGTCCTCGAACAACTGACCTCAGGTGATCTGCCCGTCTTGGCCTCTCAGAGTGCTGAAATTACAGGCGTGAGCCACCATGCCTGGCTGATTGGTTGGTTTTAAAACTTAAAGGATACAGGAGTATAGTTTTGTCTAATTCAAGATCATTTGAATTTTTGACTTTTATTAGCTTTAAATAAATCTACAATGGCTTTTTTCAAAAGTAGGGTTTTTCTTACAAAACAGTTTGTGAAATAAATTTGTTTAAATAAAACCCCACTTTTTGAAAATAAAATTAGAAATATGGTTTTCAAATAATCATGTTATTTAAACAAAATTTTATTTACTGTATATACACATATATAGTATAGATGAGTAAGAAGCAGTCAGTGAATTGCTAATCAGTTTCTTAGCACTTAACAATAAGTGTTTTGAGCTGCATGGTTTGAGAAAGTACTGGTTCAAATGCTGTTAAAAATCAAATTTTTGTATGCTGTCTCTAGATGGTTTGAAGACCTAGTGGTTGTGTTAGTTGAAGAAGTGGAGTTGCATAGAAGTAACTCAGATGTTTTGCTTGTGTGTTTGGTGGAACATTTTTAGTATGTGCCACAATAGATATGTGGAATGCTAATACTTAGGAATTGATAGTTGGAGCCCAGAAGTGAGAATGTGAGCAAATAAACTGAAAGGTTACAAAATAACTTTAATCATTTCACAATTCTGAACCACTACAAAAATAATAAAGTTGCATGAGGTGTTTTATATTTATGGTTTAGATTAGCCCCATTTTGCTAATTTGGAATTAAATTAGCTAGTTTGGAATTTAAGTTACCTGGTTCTTGGCCCTGCCTTTAGTTTGTATCCTTTTTATAGCCAGTTAAGAAACTGCAACCCAAGCAAATCTTACCTTATGAATGGGATTTTGGGTAACAGGAAAAGTTTAAAAACTAGGGTGTTATATGTTGGAAGTGACTTGTCTCTCGATGCTAAGTCATAGACTGCTATTTAAGTCTTGAGTTTGTTTTTCTGATATAAAATTGAGCAATACCTTACCTATTGCTTCTGTTGTTTTCATAAATATATCCTTTTCATTATCCCTTCCTCCTTTGGTTTGCAGTTGAATTTTTATGGAAGAAATCAAATGATTATACATAGTGGTAATATCCTTTCTTCCATTTATAGAAACATTGTATTAAATGCTGATTAAACTCTTGATATTTTCTAGAGGTGAAATCTTTATAATATATTTGGGATGGTATAGAAGGAAGTAATTTCCCTCATGAAATAAATGTGCAAAGAACAGCAAAGCCCATATGTGTTATTGGCTAGGCGCATTTATTAACAGGTTTGGATGCATCAGGTTTACATTTGTAAATCAAATGCATACCTCTGCAAAATTTCAAATTGTCATGTATTTACAGGATAGCCAACAGTTAATTGAAACTTGCCATGGTTAAATTTTGCTTTAAATAATCTCCAAGAGTAGTGAGTGGCTGGGCACTCACTCATGCATGTAATCCCAGCACTTTGGGAGGCCGAGGCAGGCCAATTGCTTCAGCCCAAGAGTTTCAGACCAGCCTGGACGACATGGCAAAACCCTGTCTCTCCAAAAAAATGCAAAAATTAACCTGGCATCATGGTGCATGCCTGTAGTCCCTGCTACTTGGGAGGCTGAAGTTGGAGGATTGCTTGAGCCTGGGAGGCAGAAGTTTCAGTGACCCAAGATCGCGCCACTGTACTCCAGCCTGGGTGACAGACCCAGACTCTGTCTCAAAATAAAAACAAAAAAATTAATGAGTGATATAAGTATGACATTCCTGCTGAAGTAATCTGGGAAGCATCTACAAGGGGGAGTTTTCCCAAGAATATTACCCTCAACATTTTTACCTTTTCTTTTACCTTTCTTCTCCTGAAGGTAGCTTAAAAGTAAATATTCTAAACTTGAAAGTTTGATTGTTAGTGTTTAGTTGTAAATTCTTTTAAAATGCACATTACTTTTAAGTCATCTAGAGATTGTGTGGATTGTCTCCCTCAGCCCCACTAAGTGCTTCTCTGTCTTCAGTGGTCTAGAAGGCCAAAAACGGTTTCTCAGACTATCTTGCATTTAGGGCTCTAGATATAAAATAGTTGATGACAATTCGACTATAACTATGGGAGATTTGAAGGGAGTTTCTTCGTTTTTCTGGTCTGGGTTATGAAGAAGTGAGATTTTGCCAATAGTAGCAAAACTGCAGCATAGCATTATTTGTTCTCCAGCATCTTGAGTTATCAAGAGGCTTTTGTGGCTAAGGCAGCAGCTAGACTGTTTTATCGTGTACATCCCGTAGCTTCTGGGGTATTCAGAGGCAGTTGTGACAACTTCCTGATTCAGGCTTTCCAATTCTTGGATAACAGTTATTTGCCATATGTTCTTGGATTTAGTGGTTCCATTGGTAGCTTCTTGTGATTTCAGTTCTGTGGTATTCTGGTAGTCACTCCTGGAGACATTCCCTATAGCCCTTCCTTCATTCTTTCCCATAAGTAAGCACCTGATTCTTTTTAACTTGCCATTTTCTCAAAACATCTAGGGGTTTCTATTCCCTCCACCAAATCCTGATTGACCAAAGTCAAGAGAATCCTTTGATGACAAAATGCTACTCTTTCGTTTTGTAGATGGTACTGTATGTGATGCAGGATTTTTCTTGACCCTTTCTTTGGACTTGTGATGGGGTACCCCATTTACTTGGCCGGCAGCACTCAACCGCTTGCAGGAGGGAGTAGGTGAGCAAGTAAATGCAGGATCTGGCTGGCTGCTTTGGGTACTGGCAGGAGCAAGTTTCATGTGGGCCCCACGATGGCACCCAGGTTGTGGTGCCTGTGACCCCCGAAGCCCCAGAGGGTGTTTTACAGTGCTCCCTTAGCTCCACCATCTGTGGACAGCAGTGTGTTACTAGCCCAGTGGGCTCCTTGCCTTGTCGTGTGGGACAACTGCCCTCTGCTAGTGAGGGCAGAGAGCCAGTGTGACGACAATTTTTTTTTTTTCTTCCCGAGATGGAGTTTCGCCCTTGTTGTCCAAGCTAGAGTGCAGTGGCTCGATCTCAGCTCACTGCAGCCTCCACCTCCTGGGTTCAGGAGATTCTCCTGCCTTAGCCTCCTGAATAGCTGGGATTACAGGCACCCGCCACCATGCCCAGCTAATTTTTGTATTTTTAGTAAAGACAGGGTTTTGCCATGTTGGCTAGGTTGGTCTTCAACTCTTGACCTCAGGTTGATCCACCTGCCTTGGCCTCCCAAAGTGTTGGATTACAGACGTGAGCCACTGCGCTCGGCTAGACAGCCTTTTTTGGGTACCTACACTCACTGGGTCCCAAGCTCTTTCTTGTCCGGCATTCAAGAAGAATGAGGTCGTGCCAAACATTTGAAGGATGGTGGAGGCAGAGAATTTTCTTTAGTGATGAAAATGGCTCTCAGCAGAGAAGGGAGCTAGAGAGGGGACAGGATGGGCAGGTAATCTTCCCTGATGTCAAGCCATCCCTCTGAAGTCCAGGCACCTTTCTCCAGTCAAGTTGCTTCTCTCCCTTTACTGAGTCTGGGGTCTTTATCCACATAGGATGAGGGGTGGGATGGGCTGTCAGTAGTTTTGGAAAAGGCAACATTCGATTGGTAAAAAGACATTATTCAGAAAGAACAAATTGGGAGAGAATTGGTGAACAAGGATAGACGTTCTCACTTTGGGCCACAGTTCAGGCTTTTTGGTTCGAAGTTGGGGTTTCACTGGGTACCCGCCCTTGTCTGCCTAGAATGTCTCTGCCTCCTGCCTCTGTCATTGAACTTCAGATATATAAAGAGGTTACTCTATGATATGTCATTGACTGAGCATTAATTATATTGACCCTTCTAGTGACTAAGTATAAAGCTCTCACCAAACTTATATACCTTTAAATAGAAGAAAAAGTATACCTGAATTACACATAATAATTTCTTAGAAGGCATCAAGTTTTTAATCAAATCTGAGGAGCGTTTGGAAATGAAACCATTTACAGTTGCAGTTTAACCAACTCTTCAAGAGCATTACCTCCTGTAGCTTTTATCAGTGCTCCTCAAACTTTAATATGCATACATATCACCTTGGGAACACTTGATGTGTCTTTGAAATGAAGATGTCAGTTGGGACTTAGTATTCTACATTTCTAACAAACTCGGGTGATTGTGATTTTGTGAACCACAATTTGAGTAGCAAAGCCTATAGTGTTTATAATTATAAATAAATATTTATTTTTTATTTCTATTTAATTTATATTTAAATTATTTTAAAAATAATTTATATTTCTATTTCGCTTAGTAATTTCTATTTATGTGAACTTTCTTTCTGAATATTAATAATTCACAGAAATTTACTTTTTTTTTTTTTTTTTTTTTTTGAGACAGAGTCTTGCTCTGTTGCCCAGGCTGGAATGCAGTGGTGCCATCTCGGCTCACTGCAATCTTCACCTCCTGGGTTCAAGCAATTCTGCCTCAGCCTCCAGAGTCGCTGGGATTACAGGTACACACCACCACGCTTGGCTAATTTTTGTATTTTCAGTAGAGATGGGGTTTCACCATGTTGGTCAGGCTGGTCTCGAACTCCTAACCTTGTGATCCACCCAACTCGGCCTCCCAAAGAGCTGGAATTATAGGCATGAGCCATCGTGCCCAGCCTCATAAATTTGCCTTTTTAACCCAAAAATGGAATATTGTACACTGCTCAGTAGCTTGCTTTTTTTTCACTTAGTAATGTCTTTCTCATGAATAACCTTCCATGGCAGTGCATACAGATCAGTTTAATTTTAATGGCTGCATAATATTTCAAGTATGAATATAGCATAATTTATAGGCAGACTCCTTTTGAAAAAATGTAGAAATGGGAAAATGCTTTCCCAAATAATGTGGATATGAAAATTCTTATACTTCTATACTTGGTATTTCTGTTGAGTAGGTTCCTAGAATGGGGATTTCTAGGTCCTAGTTCATGTGCATTTTAAATTTTCTGCCACACTTCGAGATTTGACCAAAGTTGCCATCTCAACAACAAATTATGACCTCTTTCTCTTACCTTTGTCACTGAATATATCAGGTTTTGTTTTTTGTTTTTTGTTTTTCTTTTTCCTTCAGGACAGGGACTTGCTCTGTTGCCCAGAGCTGGAATGCAATGTTGTGATCTCAGCTCGCGGCAGCCTCTGCCTCCTAGGTTCAAGCAATTCTCCTGCCTTACCCTCCCAAGTAGCTGGAATTACAGGCACATGCCACCATGCCTGGCTAATTTTATATTTTTGGTAGAAGACAGGGTTTCACCATGTTAGCCAAACTTGTCTCGAACTCCTGACCTCATGATCTGCCTGCCTCGGCAGGGATTACAGGCGTGAGCTACTGCTCCCAGCTCATAGATAGTATCAGTTTTTAAGAACTTAGTCATTGTGAAAGATTTGAAGCATTCATTGTAATAAGGAGATTTGATGTTTTCTTGTGTTTTTCAGCCAAGTATAATTTGCGAATTGATGAAGTGTCCGTTTTTGTTGGATTATTTTCTTTATGGATGAGTATGCTTGCTTATTTAATTTTGCTGTAGAGTTTATAAATATTCCTTAGAATACAGATGTTTTTGTACTTTGTGGCCTTTGCGTTTCTAATATTGTTTAAGAAGTATTAAAAAATACTCTTTAAATTTTGAACCATAAGCAGCTCATTTGAGGAGCTTGTCGATTTGATGAAAACGAGCCCATTCTTCTGTAGGAAAATCTTAAAATTGAGTTTTAAGATTTAAGTTTAAGATTTAAAATCTTAAAATTGAGTGCCTGTAACCTATTTAATTCTCTTTCAGATCAAATTCTGAAATAATAAAAAGGTGGATTTTGGAAGCTTTCTGTGTATGCAAACCGGAATTATTATTATTATTTTTTACTTAGCTTTATCCTAAAATAAGAAAGTTGTCTCTGGAGATTTTTGAAAAAGTAGTTGCCTCCCATCCTGCTAAATAAAGGAATGCCATTCAGCAATTTGGTTGTGAATTAATTGATTGATTGAGACAAGTTCCGCTCTGTCACCCAGGCTGTAGTGCAGTGACACAATCTCAGCTCACTGCAACCCCTGGCTCCTGGGTTCAAGTGTTTCTCTTGCCACAGCTTCCCAAGTAGCTGGGATTACAGGCGCATGCTACCACGCCTGGCTAATATTTGATATTTTTATTAGAGACGAGGTTTTGCTATGTTGGCCAGGCTGGTCTCGAACTCTGACCTCAAGTGCTCCACCTGCCTTGGCCTCCCAAAGTTCTGGGATTACAGGTGAGAGCCACCAAGCCTGGCTTTGGTTGTGATTCTACCTGGAGAGTTTGTCACACTCTTGAATGTGGGCCTGTCTGCCCACATGTGTGCATCCACATTATGGTTCTCCACCTTGACTGCTTATTGGAATCTCTTGGGAGCTTTTGAAAATGGAAATGCCCAGGTCTTCCCCTCAGCCCTCTTCCTCACCCCCAATATTCTGATGTATTTGGTCTGGGGTGTAGCTTGTTTAAAAGCTTCTTAGATGGCTGTGCACAGTGGTTCATGCCCTATAATGCCAGTGCTTTGCAGGCTGAGGCTGGAAGATTGCTTTAGCCCGGGAATTTGAGAGCAGCCTGGGCAAGATAGCAAGCTCATGTCTCTAAAAATGAATGAATAAATAAATAACAATCAATTAAAAGCTTCCTAGTTGATTCTTATGTGCTACCAAAATTGAGAACCATTTGATAAAAGGATAGGGGATGAAGGTGCAGTTGATGTTAAAGCTTTATCTGGGACATTTGACCTAATTCGAGTCACTAGTAAACTTTTAAAATGCAAAACTTTAAAGCAGATACAGCTGCTGTGAGCCTGGAATGTCATTTTCTTCAGATTATTAAAATACTAGACTGCCACATTCATGGGAGTTCTACAGATGTACTTTTTCAGAGCCTCTGTAATGGGAAATTATTTAGAGCAGTAGTTCCCAGTTCTGGCTACATGTCAGGATCATCTGGGGACCTTCAGATAAAAATGTTGAATGAAAACATATATACTCATATACTCATATTCTACCCCTGACAGTTGAATCAGAATTGCTGGGGGTAAAGTCCAATTAATGATATTTTTAAAGTTCCTCAAGAGATTCTAATATGTAGCCAGAATGGATGGGGGCAGGGGGTACTGATTTAGAGTTATAACTAGACAAGATGTAAGGTTTAGGTTGCCTTATGGTCCTAAAAGTTAAATGTACTGCTGCTGGTATTAGTACTACTTTTCTGATTCTGGTGATTTTACTCAAACTGTTGTTTGGTTTGTTTATATCCTCTAAAAAGTATGAAGAGCTCTTTATTTCAGCCAAGAGCTTGAATTGGCTTTTCACTAAACTGTCAGTTCTGGTGGCACACAGAAGTGAATTTCTCTGCTTTGACAAGTCCTGGTAGGGATGGTGCTATAATCATAAATGAAATAATTCCTCCATATATTCAAATCCTATTAGACTATTTTATCTTGGACCAAGTCACTTAACCTCTATAAACTCATCTGCAAAATGTAAATCATATCTACTTTGCATAAAATACTGATGTGAGGATTAAATGAAATAATGTGTATAAAGTATCTAGCATTGTTTCTGGCGCTCCATAATTTCAAATCTGTATTTTCCTGTTCAGCTTCCCTTTTACTCTCATTGTTCTTTCTTGATACAGAGTCTCTCTCCGTTGCCCAGGGTGGAGTCCATGATCTCTGCTCACTGAAACTTCCACCTCCTGGCCTCCTGCTTTCAAGCAATTCTCCTGCCTCAGCCTTCAGAGTAGCTGGGACTACAGGCACACGCCACCATTCCGGCTAATTTTTGTGTTTTTAGTAGAGACGGGGGTTTCACCATATTGTTCAGGCTGGTCTCAAACTCCTGACGTCGGGTGATCCACCCACCTTGGCCTCCCAAAGTGCTGGGATTACAGGCGGGAACCACTGCGCCTGGCCCCACACCCCACCCCACCCCCCCCCTTTTTTTTTTTTGTCGGAGACTTGAGTCTTGCTCTGTCACCCAGGCTAGAGCATTGGCCTTATATCTGCTCACTGCAACCTCCGCCTCCTGGGTTCAGGTGATTCTCATGCCTTAGCCTCCCAAGTAGCTGGGATTACAGGCATGCATGACCACTCTGGCTAACTTTTGTATTTTTAGTAGAGCTGAGGTTTTACCATGTTGGGCAGTCTGGTCTTGAAATCCTGACCTCAAGTGATCATTTGTCTCAACCTCCCAAAGTGCTGGGATTACAGGCGTGAGCCACTGTGCCCAGCACATTTTTTTTTTTTTTTTTTAAAAGAGAGATGGGGCCTCACTCTGCTGCCTAGGCTAGAATGCAGTGACTATTCAGATGGGATCCTGGCACACTACATCTTTGAACTCCTTAGCTTAAGTGATCCTCCTGCCTCAGCCTCCTGAGTAGCTGGACTACAGGCATGTCCCACCTCTTCTGGCCTTCACCCTGTAATTTTGCCTTTTCCACTGTGTCATATAAATGGAATCAAACTCATTTTTAAATTGGGCTTTTATTTTCTTATTGTTAGGTTTTGAGATATTTTTAAATTATTGTAGGTACAAATTCTTCCTCAGATAGGTAATTTGCAGATATCTTCTCCTAGTCTGTGATGTATCTTGTATTCTCATAACAGTGTGTTTTTACTTTTGATGGATTTCAGTGTTGCCAATTTTCTCTATGGTTTGTGCTTTTGATGTATGTATGAACTATCTGTGTAACTCAAGGTCACAAACGTTTTCTAAGTTTTATAGTCCGATTTACATTTGAGTCTCATCCATTATTATTTTTGTATTAAATGTGAGCTAAAGTACATTTTTAAAATGTATACATCTTAATTATGCTAGTACTGTTTTTTTTTTTTTTGAAAATACTTTTTCCCCATTGAATTGTTTCATCACTTTTGTAAAGAATCAGTTTTGATTTATTTATGTGGGTCTGTTTCTGGTTTCTCTTCGATTCTTTTGATCTGTGTATCTTTTTGCCTGTACAGGTACTGTAACTTAATAGTATGTTTTGAAATCAGGTGTTCTGTTTTAAAATTTTTCAAAATTTGGCCATTCTAGTTTCATTGGTATTCCATAT